AGAGTGGTAACAGACAGCACCTTACAGGTCACTCAAGTCTGATGTCCTCTTTGGGCACATGGGAAGACTGAGGCTTGGAGAAGTCCAAGCCTGTGCCAGTGTCTTCATCTGTAAACTATGGGCTTTAGTGAGTGCCCAACAGGAAATGCTTTGTGTGACTCTCTCGGTATAATAAGGTAATTCAAGGTTTAAAACAGGACTTAACAAAGAAGTGGGTGTAGGGGACTCCGGATGGTGCCCTACCTTGACTTAGTGGCCACCAGGCTGTTAGCACTCCCAGCCTCAAAGGGACGATTCGGGGCAGTGACTGGGATCCAGAGGGAAGCAATAAAGGAGAGCAAGCTGCCTGAGGTGGACCTGACAATGTGATGACAACACAGCGTGCTGGAGACAACTTGCTGGAGGAAATCAAGGAGTTAAGGACTTGACCTTCTCCTCTCCCTCTCTCTGAACTCCTGCCAAAGCTTCCCATTGGCCAAACTCAATAAGAAACTGGAGGCATATGGCAGATAGAGGTCCACCTCCGGGGCAGAGAGCATCTGGAGAGGGGAAAGGAAGAGCCCCAGGACGGTGTTCACACCCTGCTTCTCTGCTGAGTCAGAGCGACAGCTTTTTCAGGGTCTTGGTGAAAGGGTACATGAATAAAAGACTGCTAAGTAGATTATTAAGTGAGCACAGTTTACTCTGATATGTACTTTCAGCCAGAGCTGGCCTTGGCTGTACTTTATCTTATATGGTTATTGAACTGCTTCAAAAAATTGTGAATAGAGATCAAAGCAGTTTAAACAGATACATTCGCTGTGTAAATATCCTTGAACTCCTCCCCCCTTCCCACTACCCCTCCTGTTGCCAAAGCCGTTCAGCACCTCTAGAGGCTGTTAATACATGTAATGGTTGTAATAAACATTGTATTTGTTTTGGTTCCAGCTGGCTCCAACCACCAAACTCTGTCCACAGTTCCTATTGTTGTCTTTGCTTACTAGACAACTGCATTGTTACCAGTGGTAGCTACCTTTGTCACAGATTTCTAAACGTTGATCTTTATATATGACACTCGTTGTTTCCCTAATATGTTTTTAATTTAGATTTGCCGTTATGCCGTGTTTTTAAGTACACTTAGAATTATTCAGTGTATAGAAAAGCCTTTAATTAAAATTAATTATATTGTTAATTGTCCATTCTTCTTGCACCAAAACCTGGAAACATTTTTATCGGCGTTGTTCACTCTTTATAAAGCTCTCAATAAAGATTCAAAAATTTCTGCTTATCTGTGACTTAAAGTGCCTTAGGCACTCTTCCATAGGGAGTTTTTACAGACACAAGATTATAATTCTTAAAATTAGAAAAAGAAGGAATTTATGTTCTACCATGAGGAAAATTGGTTCTCAAGAACTTAGAACGAGTTTTTTTTTAATTTTTTTTTCAAGTTTTTCTCATCATTTGGGCAGTAAAGAGATTATTAAAGGTACGTTACATATTATTTAAAGATGAACAGAATTGAGAAAAGTTGTTTTTAAAATAAGTAGCTAAACAGCCTATTATTAACCAAAATTGAAAGTAAAATTTCAACTAAAAGAAAAATAAAGAAACTAGGAGGGGGAAATTTAAGAGGATAAAAATAGAAATTTAAAAATTATAAAATAAAATAGTAACCTTCCCAAAGTGGAAATAAAACCCTGTGTGGGTTTTTAAAAATAAATAATACAGCTAAACTTCTGATAAGCCTGTCAGATATGAAGAGAAAAAAGCACATTAAAAAAGAGAAAATCAGTATAACCAAGGAAACCAATGAAAATAATTATAAGAAATATGGCATTCAAATTTATTATTTTTTTATTTGTCATTCAAATTTAAACCAATGGACTTTTTAATCTAGATTGGGTCCTCATAGAAAATACTTTATTTTAATGAAAATTGACTTAAAGAGATTGAAACTTGAACAGACTAATTACAAAGAAGACATTCAAAAGTTTGACAAAGACACACTGTTGAGACCCAGAACCAGATGATTTTATGGGTGAATTTTACCTTCAAGGGACTAAGTATTCTATGTTGTTTGAGGAGTCAAGAATATAGGAAAGGTGGAAAGCTTGCATATCCCTACTATTGAAATATGAAAAAATTAACAGAAAACTATGGTGTCCCTTATTGAGCATAAGTTGACATATGAGTGAAGTTAATATCCTACATAAATATTAGCAAATAGTCTCAAGTGTCTTAAAAGATACATTGATTAGGAATGATTATTAAGGCAGAGATGGTATAATATTAGGAAATTTATTAATATAACAAATATGTCATTTATAAAATAAAGGAGCGTGGTCATATGGTCATTACCAATAGGTATTTTTTAAAGAATTGGATAATTCGTGTTGTATTTTAAGTGATAATTAAATTTTAAATTGAAAAGAACTTCTAAAACAATAATATTGTTCTTGCTTTTACTGTTTAAAGTTATTTTATGATCATATTGGTATCACAGACTAAAGTGTTGAAAGTGAAGATAGCCCTACTAAAATTTTTTTAGGTGAGTAACCAATCAGAAATCACGATTGCCTTAGAGCAGCTTAAAACAATGCTGTATTCAAATTAAACTTTTCATCTCACATAATGCTAGGTTTTGCCCTGACTTGAGGTAAGAAGGTAAATGTGCTTTCACAGTATGTGTGTGTGACCAGAACCCCCTCATGTGAAACTCTATGGACAGTTAGCACCTGTACCTCAGTTTACAGTATGTCAGAGGGGCAAAGAAGTGTTTCTCGAGCTAGAAATGTTAATAAAGGAGAGATGAATTATGTAACTAAAAACTAGAGCCCAAAATTGGATGGACACTCTCCTTAATAAAAATGCTGTCTTCTCTTTGGGGAATCACTGGCCATTGAATTTTGCCCAGTTATTTTTCTAAGAATGATTGCCTTAAAGTCATTACTTTGGTACTTTGTTAAAATTTTATTGTGTGGATACAAACTTGTACTCGACAAAGACATATCATAGATAAAGAACAAGGTCGTACCTTCAGCAGTGAGCCATATTATGAACTGTTAGAAGGTATGAATTTGACAGAGTAGTGTGTTCGGGGAGGTGATAGCTTTCAAGTTGGGCTTATAGGATAAGTAGAATTTTCACGTGTAGAGAGGAGAGACAAGAGTTTCCCTGCCTGGGAGAACAGTGTAAACAAAAGCGTGGAAGCAGGAGCTCTAATATATGATTGTATAATCTAGCGGTGCATACACTTAGGGTTTCCTGAAGAATTTTAAAGAAAAGAAAAACAAGTGGCCCACACATGGTAATCTTAACTCAGTAGGGGGATCAGGATAAAGTCCAGATATCTAAGTTCTTCTCAGAACCCAAGGATGATTCTATGCACAGTCAAGGTTGAAAACCAGTGGTGTAGCCTAATGTGTGACTAGCGTGTAAAGGGTATGGAATTTCTGTGGGAAATGAGGCTGGAAATATATATTGAGCTTACTGATAACTGGAGTACTGTTGGTTTGGTATTGTTTATGTTTTTTTTTTTTTTTTTAGTTTCTATTACATCACCATGATCCTTCCATTAAATATCAACCAGATATCCCTTAAATAAATTTGAGCCCTGGGTAAATTTAAAGTGAAGTATGTTAAATGAGATAAAGGGGGAAGCTGTTAATGTCGCTGATTACCACAAAATTTAACCACCATTTCATTGTTTATAATCTCATCAGCTGACTGGACTCAGCTGAGCGGTTCTGTTCTGTGTGACGCTGGCCAGGGCAGAATTCATCTGGGGGATCAGTTGGTCTTGACTGTCCAAGATGACTCACTCACATGGCTTTCAATTGACAGCTCAGCTGGGATTGTGGACCAGAACATTTTTGTGGGCTTCTCATGGCAAGGCAACTGGGTCCCAACAGGAAGCATCTCAAGAGCAAACGTTTGAAAAGGCCCAGGTTACAAGGATTCTCTGACCATGCTTTCATAGCCTCAGACATTGTTCCTACCACATTCCATGGGTCAAGAAAGTCATTAAGGCCAACCTAGATTCAGTGGAAAATGAGTGAACTCTGTCCCTTGCTGGAGGGAGCAGTGTGTGTATCAAGGAGAGGAGGAGGTCGGGGGAGTATTTTTAGAGTTTCTGTGCCAATCTTAATGCACCAAATACATAAAGCCGAATTTTAGGGAACTTAGATAGATGTTGATAATGATACAAGACAAATCAGTAAAGATAAAGGGGTCTGAATAATATGAAATGCTTATGTAGTCAATTTATGTATTCAGATTTTTACCTGACAATAAAGAAAAAGCCCTCGATTTCAGGTATCCGTAGAATATCCTCCTTTCTACCCCCACCCAAAAAAGGAAGCACTTAATCCCCTGTACACGCGTAAAGCCAAAGTGATCACAGTTGTGTTTCTTTCATCTGTTTGATACACTCTGTGCTAAATGGGTTCTTCTGTTTCGAGGCTTTCTTCTCCTGAGGCCTTTTTTCATGGGGTATGAATATTGTGTTATACAGTCTCCCTGAAGTTCTTCCCATTTTTTATTTCCTGAAAAGAGCAGCATGGGAGGGAATTTATTTTGATTCCCCAAGTGTCACGATAAAGGACAGTTCTGACCTGTCCTCGGTGTTCTGGAGACTCTTAAGGTCACCATCCATCAGGCTCTGGCATCTTTGATTTTCCAGAAACATTGACCTGGGAATTGAGGTGGAGTTGGTACCGTCATCTCTTTTCCATGTGTTATCTTCTAAGTCCTGGAAGAAAAAGATAACCTTAATATAAGAGGTTTTGGGTCTTTGCGTTCTGAAGCTTGTGTTATTTTACCATCTTGTGTGAGGAGGATGTCATTTCCTGGCCTACGAATGATGAGTCCTATTTACTTACTGTGTTTATCACGTTGTCAGCAGATGACTTACAGACGTTCTTTGCAAAGTGGATCTTGTCCTTAAGCCACTTGGGAATGGGGTGCCATTGAAGCCAGCAGCTGTGTCCCTCAGTAACATCCAGGTCTTCTTGCCATTGCAGGTTGTCACACTGTGGTACCGCGCTCCCGAAGTCTTGCTGCAGTCCAGCTACGCCACCCCCGTGGATCTCTGGAGTGTCGGCTGCATATTTGCAGAAATGTTTCGTAGAAAGTAAGACATTACGCTTTCTTTTTGAAATCGTCAGTAATTCAAGTGGTAATGTAGTATTTTCTCGCTCTCAGCGTCATGGTCTCGATCTGCCTGTTCCTGGGTTCCCTTCTGAGCCTCCTCGGAAAACACTCCCCAGTTTTTACAGTGCAGTTTTGTGTGACTGAAGCCTTGGAAACTTTGGGAAGGAAAACCTCAGTGTTGTTACAATTTACGTTGCTTTTCTTGGTGATAAAACATGGTGACCCCAAGCATATTATATTTTTTTTAGTGAAAAAAATATTCTCAAGGATATTTATCCACAGGAGGAGCACTATTAAGTACATGGAAATTTTGATGGTGGAAATTGTTGCAAAAGGAATGTTTAGGCTAGACTGCAAGGCAGAAGCAAGGGGATGTCAGTGCTGTTTCCGAGTGCTTTAAGTGCTGCCACGTGGAGGAGAGCGTGGACATATGTGGGCCCTAGAGAGGCAGAAATGGAATGAAGGAATATAGAAGTTAAAGAAATAAAGATTATTTGCTCAGAGAGGGGGCAACCCAATGATTAAACAGTGATCTGAAAAGTACAGGAGGGTTCGTGATTGCCACTGGGTGTCTAAGTCTGGACCACCATATACTGGAGATGTTTCCAGCACATTCAGAGGCCAGGTGGGTGAGGTGGATGAACTCCAAGGTTGCCCTGAGTGTGAAAGTCTGTGATTCATTTGTTTGATTTTCAGGTCACCAGGAATAGCCAAACATTATAATAAGAATCTGCTAGGAAAATGATACCTACCTGGGTACTGAGTTCAGCTTCTTCAAAATTAAACAAAGAACTTAATCCTAATCTAATCTTCTTTTCTATTTTTATTTCCATGGGAAAATTCGAGTTGGGAAGCTGAGCATATTCCCACTGGGCAGATTATGTTCCAAGTGTAGCTATTCCTAGTAGTTCATTAGGAAAAATAGTGATTACGTTTGTTTGTTTGTTTGTTTGTTTAATCAAAGTAAGTTTTGTGCAGTGAATGTTGAGAACTCATTGTAGAACTCAGCAAACTCATCGCTAGCTCCTAGGATGGGATCATGGTAAGGAGATCAGAGCACACAGATGTTTAATGGCAGTCTCAGTGTCAAGTATAGTGCCAAAGCTGTTTCTTTGTGTGTTACTTTTTTAAATTTTTACACTAAGAAGAAACTGGCTTGGAGTGGTGAATTCATTTCTCACATCAGGCAGCTAAAAAGTAACAGGAGTATGACTCAGAAAGAAGTCTTGTGAGTTCTAATCTAATCTAGTGGGGTTTTTTCCTACAAGGGAAAGAAGAAGAAAAAAAAAAAGTAAGATTCAGCTCAGCTGCAATGTCTACCAGATGGGCTAAATAAGTGGTTTTGACAGTGTGGTCCCTGGATGGCAGCATTAGCATCAGTGGGGCCCTTGTTGGAAATGCAAATTCTCAGGCCCCACCCCAGCCCTGCTGAATTGGAAGCTGTGGGCTGGATGCCAGCAACCTGAGTTTTAACAAGCCCTCTACTTGATCCTCATGCACCCTTCAGGGCAAGAGCCACTGGGTCGGATGACAGTATCACCAGGGATGGGCAGTCTTTAAAAGTGCAGCTCCCAGGCCGCTCCCTTGAGAGTCTGATTCACTTACTGGGCTGGGGCCAGGAATTCTTATTTTTAAAAGTGCCTCTGGTAATTGTTTGCATCCAACACATTGTGTTACAGGCTCGAGGTCAGAAACAGGAATAAATTACCCTCAGTTGAGCAGAGTGGGAGTTTAGATTGTCATTTCAGCTCATCCCAGGATTAACAGTGCAGCTAAAAGCTGGTTAGAGAAGTGCTGATTAGAATTACGTGTAAGTATCTAGAATTGTCCTCAGTGTAAGGATGGAGCCTATCTTTTCGTATGGGGAAGAGGACAGTCGATTTTCAATAATACAGATTTAACTGTTAGCCATAATTGATAAACCAAGGTTTTCTAAATTGTTAAAAGATAAAATTTAAAGCAAGTGTGTGTGTATATATATGTATGTAAAATAGTTAAGATAGTTATGCTACTAATTTCTCTTAGTTCATTGAAAAGGAAGGTTTGTGCTAATATTGTTTAGACAATTAAATGCTGTATCTTGTACTATGAGTAACTAATTTAAGGATAGCAGTATGCAGTGTTTTAACCATTGTTCCCCTCCTATTATCTTGTTTCAAAATTTTGTATTTTTTTCTTCTGTAAAATAATAAGAAAGATAAAATTTAAGGTAGATAGAAAGTAAGAGAAAAGGAAGGAATGAAGAAGAAAGAAAAAAGAGAGAAAGGAAGAGAAAGAAAGAAAGATATATTCATTCATTTACTGGTAAGGAACTTGCTATATTTTTAAGTATAGATAGTCTCCTACTTATGAAACATTTACAATCTCAAATTTTATTTTCAAGCATTAGGAAATATTGTCCACTGAAATGGTACTATAATTGGTGATCGGGTTCCCAGACTGTCTTGCCGAATCCTGTATAACCTGGAACAAATATAAAACACCCATTGTGCCAATTTATTGAAACCTTTATTCTGTGAGAAAATTCATTCTGCTTTCCAGCCCAACATGACAGAACTACCACTCCCCACCCCTGCACTGGAATTGAGAAGGGGACCTCACTTGTTGGGAGCCCAAAGAAGATTCCTTTGACAATAGTGGCAACATTCTGCTTTGTTCTCAGGAGAAATGAAATGTTGGATAGACCCACTGTCTCTTAAAATGTACACATACGAAAGTCTTCTTCTGGAGTTTTATCCAAAGGTAGTAAATTGGGAAATAATGGTGCGGAGGAAGAAGCAATATCGCAAACCAGGTCCATGTGCTTTAAGACTGAAACAAAGTGAGTCCAAGCCAAGCAGACATCCTTGCTGGGGTGGATGCCCAGGCCCCTGGGTAGTTTCCAGTGTGGCTGTGACCTTGAATGTGACCGTGGGATCTGACTTTTGTTCTGGCTTAGTTCATGTTTGGTATTTCCTATGATACCACCCAGATATCTGAATGTGGCATGCTTCTTATTTATGCCAAATGTGTCCTGGAGTCCCAACCCCAAGCTTTACTTTAGATCCAACTTCTGATTCAGTGCTGACTCAGCTGAGGGGTTAACAAACCCTGGATTCAGAAAGCAGACTCCCCGTTACTGTAGGCTAATTATTTTTTTTGTTTGTTTGGTTTTTGTTTTTTGAGACAGAGTCTCGCTATGCAATTCAGGCTGGCCTTGAACTCACTGTGTAGCCCAGGCCAGCCTCAAACCCATGGCAGTTCTCCTGCCTCAGCCTCCTAAGGGCTGGGATTACAGGCATGCACCACCACACCTAGCCTACTGTAAGCTAATCCTAAGTCAGAGACCTGTGTGTCCACTTTGGGTTCCTACTTGATGATAAGGCAGTAATTTCCAAATTTTGTCATCTTTTTATCACTTTCATTGTCTTTGCTATATTTTTACAGCAACTATACTATTATTGATGTAATTTATTTACTGCACTGAATCAATTTACTTGTTTTATTTAGCCTCCTTGTAAATGCAAATATATAAAATCAGGGATTTGCTTGAGACAGTTATATATTTGCCTGGTGCACAATAGAATATGTATAAACATGAAAGTTATTAAGAAATGTAGTTCACATTCATCCCTTGAAATTATCCCACATACCACCAGTGGTGTATGTTACGTGTTAGAAACCCTGTAACAGGGTGTTTGCTTAGGTCTACAAAGATCTTACTGAGATGCCACTATACTCAAGTCTCCGTCTGAGGGTTGGTGGAGAAGAAAGGCATTTACACGCACTGTGTGGAAGTGTGGGGTACTGTGGGTGGGCATGATGGGAAGACTGTTTTCAGGAATGAAGGAGATTTTGTGTGGAAGGCTAGAAGTCAAGATTAACGTTCCTTAGAGGTCCCTTCCTACTCTTTGAACAGTGAGGTTTCTTTGGTTTGGTTTTTTGGTATCAATAGGCTCACCTTCCTCTGTCATCTAGGGAAAAGGAAAGAAGCAAAGGGAATGAACACCTGGCATGGGACAAGTCCAGGGCTGGGGCCCCCATAGGCTTTATCTCATCAAACCCACATCTGAGGACTGTTCTCCAGGGTCTGCAGCTGTTCCAAGGAAGGTGAAGAACTTGTTCAGGAGCACAAAACTCTTAAAGTTTAGAACCCACTTGGAGCCACACTCCAGAGCTTTTTTGTACTCTACCAAATTTCTGCTTGTGCTATTATTTGTCGTTTCTTGTTTCTGGAGTGTTTTATCCATTACTACAGTATAGCCCCAGTGATATTTTAGAGAAGCCAAGAAGCAAGTCACATGTTTAAGAGCTTTGATTTCCAGTCTGTCCTGTATTAGAAAGGTTGACCAGTTCTCTCTAATGCCATTAAGAGGTACATGCTTTCTATTCTAAAACCTAGGAAATATGAACTCAGTACAGAGACTCTTAGGGCAGATGGTTGACAAAGAGCCAGAGTGTTTAAATACCATCTGTCATGACTATCTGGGCTTAATAATTGCCCACATTGACCCACAGAAGCATTTTGCAAAATGGATTAGAGCTGTGTTTTTTTATCTTCTTCCTTTGACTCTTTGTGGGTTGTCCATCTTTACTCCACACTGAGGTATTTTTTCAATACTAAAAATTATTGTTATGAATTTGGTCAGTAGCCAACTAGTCAGCTTGAAGAATAGATGGGGTAGGTAAATGGATGGGACAGAAGGATTTTTGATCATGTGGCAAAATAAGTGTACGACATCAGCTCTCCAGGTGCCTGTCCGTTGCCTTGTGATCCTCATCAGAACTATTGTCTGTGGCTTTACAGTTACGGGGTTTTCCAGTTTAAGGCAAAGTCATAAAAAGAAAATGCACATTTAAAAAAGAAAGCATGCTACTGATTCTTTGAATATGGAGATTGTGGTAAACAGATAGTAATTCTTAGAAGTTCTGGGTTGCCAGCTCTGCTGATCCCTAGCTAAGTAATGCAAATGCCACCAGGAAAAATATAATAAATGCAGTCACTGTTGGGAGGAAACAGACCACATGGCTGTATTTCCCATTGTGCTGCGGCCTCCAGGCTTGTCGTCATTGATTTCTATGAATTAAACACACAGCGCTAAGAAACTACCACTGTAACTGCCCTTTGTGACTCAGTGGCCAGTGAGCACATGTCTGAAATGTCCCCGAGGGCCTTGCCAATTTCCCGTGGTGGCTGTGCTGGTGCATCTCCACCCCGGGGCGCACTGCTAATGACAGGGCCTAGGTGACACTCTTCGGTTGGCTTTTCTGGACACTGCGGCACCTAAGGGCAAGCCCTGTCCATGAGAAGAAACACGTCGCCTCAGACCAGTTGAGAACGTGTGTGGAGCCCACAGCCCTCTGCCGGACTCTGAGGTTTCTTATCTCTCCTGTGATATTTTCCTAGACCTTTTACTCCTCCTCCATTAAAGGAGCAGCCAAGGGGGAAAAACTCAAGGGGCATTTTCTTGGAAAAGAAATACTTGGGACAGCACTCGGGAGCGATCTTGGTTGAGTAACACCTACAGGATAGTTCTGTGTCACACCAAATGAGTACTTTTTGTAATATGATCAGTACTGGGGATTTTTTAATTCTTAGAGTGTAACCTACTTTAACAGGAATTTGAAAATATACTTGTTTTCGTGATATGTACTAAGAAGTCACCAGGCCTGGCCTTTCCCCGTGAGGGCAGCTCTGCCGCCCCCCAGCTCCCCAGCCCAGTGTCCCTCCATCTCAGCAGCCTGGGTCTACCTGTTGTGATCCTCTCCGCAAACCGGGTTTTATCTTCATAATGCTCTTTTTACAATTCTGTCACCATGTCCTTTCCTCCCGCTCTTCATACTCCCACACCCATACCGAGCAGCCATGGCCCCAGGTACCTTCCCTGACCCTCTGCATGCCACTCTCCATCTTGGAATCCTTGTTCTGTGGCAACAAGTTACCCAGCTCCCTTCACGTTTTCCTCAGTCTCCTTTTACTCTTTTCCTGCAGGTGCTCTGTCCCCTCCGAGAAGGGAATTGTGATCTGCTTATCCATGTGCTGCTTTAGGGGCAGGATTCTGCCAAAGCCTCCTGTGTTCCGCTTTCATACTCTCGCACATCCCAGTCCTCGCTGCATTACCTGGGGCTGTCAGAACCAAGGGCTTTTAGGGTAGAACCACTACAGAGTAAGAAAGAACTTTCCCAAAAGAAGTGCTTTGCACCTAGGAAACGTACAGGTTGGCTCAGCAGCTGCATCACTCAGCACATTCTCCCCACCTCCTAGCATTCATTCATTTACCTCTGAGATAAACTCAAGTTTCTCTGCTCACACCTGAAAAACACCGTACCTTAAAAATAGCATCATCCAGGGCAACCCATTTGGGACCCCTCCTATCTCTCAGGAGCTATTCCTATTCCCCATTCCTTTTCTCCAATAAATTTTCCTACTCTTAACCTTCTTTGTTTCACAGAACTCATCCTTTGACTTCAGGGGGCACAAACTCGGCAAGTTTGACAGCTAGCATTTCCCCTGTACCATCTTGGAGGTCCCACTTAGATACTTGGAAGGAGAGGCTGCCAAACTCCAGGTGATCATGCCGATGGAACCAACGGCACATGTCAGACTACTTTTCTGAGATCCACCAGATCGACCTTGCAAAGAATTCATGACTGCTAAACTACAACATGACTTCTATCTGAGGCCCACTAGAGTAGCTCTCTGGAGAAGGCCCCTGACTATGGTTTCCCATACACTGACCCTTCCCTGCTCAAAGCTACACCCTTTCTCCCCTCATTCTTCAGAGGGGGAGATACTACAGGCAGCTAAGTTAGGCAGAATATAGTAAGCAGCAGACAGGGCTGGGCCCTCAAGGCTGTCAGTGCAGAAGATTAGAATCCATCAGAACTGTGGCTGGAGGTGCATCTGAAGATTAAAGTCACAATAGCTAGTTTTACATACTTCCCTAAGGAATTAGGGAATCCCTAAAGGATTACATACTTCCCTAAGGGAGGCTCAGGATTATTGGTATCACCCTTTTGAGATTTCCCATTATCCCACTAGGGGTAGACCATCCTGTCTCACTTATTGTGACTGGGACTAAGACTGTAAGACGAAGACTGTTGGGGCTGGGGATTTAGCTCAGTGCCACAGCGCCTGCCTGGCAAGCGCAAGGTTGTGAGTTCGATTCCCAGTACTGGGGGGGGGGGAGACTAAGACTAAAGACAAGGCCAACACTACAGATTATGGACCAAGGTTAATGATGTCACTTGTATACCCTTGCTACCATTAGATAATATTACCTAAGCAACCATACTTGCAGTCTTATTGGTTGATCATAATTTTGACCCACGATGTACCTGTCTCATGGTTTTGCTCTGTAAAACTTGCTTTGAGAGGCGGGCTCATTGGCAAGCCACTCAGGACCCCTCCTATCTCTCAGGAGCTATTCCTGTTCCCCATTCCCCCACTCAGATTCCCTGTTCATTTTCTCCAATATATTTGCCTACTCAGAGAGGAGCAGGGGGAGAAAAGAAAAGAGCATCATCCAAATGCTCCCCCGTTAAAGAAAAGAAAGCTGTTCTGGGCAGGCAGTGTAACTCAGTAGTAGAGCACGCATTTCACATGTACCACACAAAAAAAGAAAAGAGAAAGAAAGCTGTGCTTAGAGGCAGAAACACAACTAGAGACATGTGCTCACTCAGCACCTGCCATCTGGGCTTGGGCTGGGTGTGTCTCCTCTCATCCAGCTCCCAGGCCAGTCCTGTGGGAGGATTCCCTTCCCTCCGGCTCCACAGTCCCTGGGCCCAGCTCCACTCCCACACTCAACCCAGCCTCGGCCTCCTCTCCAGTTAGTTGAGATGGGCGAGCCCTTCAGTCAGCTCAGCCGTCCTCCGCTCCGCTCGGAAGTTTCTCTGTCTCCACCTTCTGTTTTCCTTCTCCTGTTTCTGAGGAGGACGCGTCCTTCCACCTTTTGAGGTTGTGCTCTCGAGCCTGCTCTGTTCCTGGGCTCTCACCTCACCCTTATTCTGCTTCTGCGGCCCCTGCCATCAGCTCTCATCTCTTCATCCGGGAAAAGACCCGCCTTCTCCTCTCTCTACCCTGTCTTCCTTCTTCCCCTCCTGTGCACACGGAACCTCTCTTTCTATGGCACTTGCTCAGCTTTTAATCTGGTCCAGTGATAAAACATTTGGGGGTAGGGACTTACTGTACATCAAGTGCCATATCCAGTGCTTTAAAATGCATTGTTTCTTTTAAATGTTAGAGTAAGTTCATGGTGTTCTGTTGGAGGCCTACAAAGGTGAAGTAGTTCGGGGTATCACAGCTAATAAATGATACGAAGAGACATGAACCAGGTGGATCTGACTGCATGGTCCGCCTGGTACTCAGGCTGGACCTTAGAAGTTGGTGATGATGACCAAGCATGGTAGTGCACACCTATAATCCCCACACTCGGGAGGCTGAGGCAGGAGGATTGCTGTGAGTTCAAGACCAGCCTGAGTTTTGTAAGACCCTGTCTTTAAAAACTTAATGCAAAAAAGAAAAAGAAGTTGGTAATGACCTTCTTATCACTGCACCAGGCCCCTCTTCTACCATCCTCTATGTTGCCTGTAGCCTTTGAATCTCATGACCTGTTTCATCCTGGGAGCATAAGCACAGTCTCGGGTGTCCTAGTTATATACTAGGGATTGAATCTAGGAAGCTCTGAGCTCCTTTTATATTGTTAAACTTTGAGACAGGGTCATGCTAAGTCAGCCAGTGGCTTTGAACTTGTGATCCTCCTGCCTCGGCTTCCCACGTAGCTGAGACCATGGTGTACACTGTCACACTGGACTGCCTCTAGCCTCTGCAACAGCTCTTTTACATCTCCCTTCTCCCAAACATGGATGTTTCCAAAGAGCTCTGTCTAGACAAGGCGCAGCACCACATTTCAGTTGCTCGATGGACTGCCTCATCATGCAGACACCTACCTGCATCAGCCCCTTCTAACTGGCTGCTCTCAGCTTTCTTCATGGGACTGAAGAGCTTCGTTACCCAGCCGGGCCCTCAAAGTACCTTGGAATCATCTGCATCCCTCTATGTGCAAATGCTGTGAATTCTTCAAGGGGTCTCTAAGATCTTGCCCCTTCCTGACATGACTCCCATCATCCTAATTTAGGCTTATTTTTTTCTTGCAGTATTAGAAATTGAACCCAGGGCCTTTGAGCTACATTCCCAGCTGTGTGTGTATGTATGTATGTCCATATGCATGTGTGTATGATTGGAGGTGTTGTTGTTGCTGCTGCCACTGTTGTTCTGGAGATAAGCTCTCACTAAGTTGCCCAGGCAGGGCTCAAACTTGTAATCCTCCTGCCTCAGCCTTTCAGAGTGCAGAAATTGCCACAGGCATGCACCACATGCAGGCCTCCTTTCATAGTTGCACCTGCCACCCTGCTTCCCTATTTCTCATCAGCTTGTGTACTTAGGTAAATTATTACACCCTTTTTCAAAACCTTGGCAAAACTAGTGTAGGATCCTTGGCCCTTAAGACCTTTCTAAAAAGTCCCCTGCTTTATTCTGGCCTTGGCACATAGATCATTTGCCAGGATGGCTTTATTGGTGAAATTGTTCTCCCTCCTGGCCCAAAGCAAACCTTCATGTTGGCTTCCTTAGAAACCCTTGTCCTCTTGTCCTCCGTCCCCACCCCCACCCCCATCTTCAAGAGCCAAACTTTGAAACCGCCTCGTAAGGAAGAAGCCTGCTGTGTTGTTCCTTCTCCGTGCCCCACCGCGTTCTGGCTCGGCCCGTCTCACAGTGCTGCTCTCGGCCACGTCTCTGTGCCCCCGCAGACCGCTCTGGCTGCAGGAGTGATGGGATGCCGCACAAAACCAGGCAGGTGTGCTCTCAGCCTTCCTTCCATCCAGTGCCTTTCTCTGGAGTCCACTCAGCCCCAGGGTCCTCTTCTGTGGACAGTCTGGAAAAAGGTTCTAAAGTGTTGGAGTAGGTAACATCCAAGATTGATTCCCACTCCGGTAATTCTGTGCTTCTGGGTAGGACTGCATCTTAGTCATTTTTGGAATTCTTAACATGTCTAGCACAGCTCACACTTGTTGACAGAGCTTATTTTAAATCCTTGTGTTCTGTCCTGAGCACTTGACACACATCACTCGGTTTAATCCTCCCAAGTGTCTTGCCCTGTGATCCCACCTCTGGTCACTGGCAGTGCTGGACTCCGAGCTAGGTGACCTGTAATAGCAACACTGGACTGTAGATGAGCTACAGTGGAAAATCAGGCAGGCATAAGATATCTATCAAAACAATATCATTTCAGTATGTAATGAACATAAAAAATATGAACGATGAGATATTCTATGCACTATTTTCATACTAAGTCACAACTCCAACCAGTGTTTTACACTCAGCAATCCCAGTCTGAACTAATCACATTTCAAGCGCATGGTAGCCATATGTGCTGTATGGGACAGGGTAGGTCTGCATCATCGACGACTATGAAAAAGAAGAAACAGAAAACTTGCCGTTTATTGGGAAGGACAAAGAAAATAGGCCAGTACCTTTCTCCCTAGCCTCATTCATTTCTCATTCTTCTGTCTCTTCCACTGTTTTCTTGTTTGGGTGGGGCTCTTGCGCATAAAACCAGCAGCGCTAAGACTGACGCAGCCACCTGGCCTTCTTCCTCTGAATTAACAGTGCTTGAGCGCCAACTCAGTAGGTGTAAAATAGTTTATCAGCACTAGCAGACCTTCCCCAGTATATGTGCTTTAAAATTTCTTGCACCTGGGAAGTCTCTGTATCTCAGTGTCTGCCACACGCCACCTTCAGAAACAAGAATTGCTGAGGGAAGGAGCAAGTTTGGAGATTTAGGTGCCAGTTAGCTGTATTTTTAATAATAATGATCATCATCATCTGGTTGTAAAAGTGCCACATGGTACAGAAGTCCAAAATGTAAACACCGTGTTTCCTATATTTCCATCCAAAGTTCCAAAGATAACTCCTTGAATATACTGAACATACTTGCAGCTCTTCTTTATTGTATTTAAGAGTAGTATGTGTGTGTGTGTGTGTGTGTGTGTGTGTGTGTGTGTGTCTAACCACGTAAATATATGTGCTCACATGCTTTTGCATAAGTTTCTCTTACAGAAATGGACTTACGCTATTCTTCTAACTTGCTTTAAACTGATGAAAAACTATCTGTTTATATCATAATTAAACTAATTTTCTGTTGATAGACATTTAGAACTTATTCTTTGGCTTTGGTCCTATTAGAAACAGTGTTTTAGTAAAATCCTTGAGCTTATTTTGTGAAACGTTTGTCTAAGTATTTCTTTATGGTGAATTCCAGAAGCAAAATTATAGGGTCAAATATCATGCATATTTTTAAAAATTCTGCTAGCTAAACCAAATCACCCTCCAAAAAATGTTGAGAGTCTGCTTCTAGCTTAAGGTAGGAAGTGGGAGTGAGAATTCTCCAAGATTAAGAAAAGTTGTCAAGAGTGAGATTAGCTAAGAACTCTTATGTAAGCCTTGACTACCCTCTTCTACCCCTACTTAAAAATAATACCAACTGTGAAATGTCAGTGAGTGTGGTAACTTTATAAAACTGTTGCTAAGCTTAGTTTGATGCATAAGAGACTTCTTCCAACTGTAAAATTCACTATGGGTTTCCTTTTATCAGTTTGAGTAGTGATAGGGAAGTAATCAACCTCATTTTGTCAGTTAAAAGAAAGTTATCTTAGATGGTGTCCCAAGCAGTTTTTCAGACTGTTTTTTTCCAGTGCACAGGCAATCCAATGACCATTCTGCAGAGTTCCACATACTATTCTGTAGAGAATAGTATGTACTGAGTTCTAATCTTTCTTCCAGGTACTCTTCCAGGTTAGTTACTTCCTGTTAGTCCCCAGAGCTCAGGCATCGTTACTTGGATTTTGCTTCCTGGGTCTATGCCTTAGAATAACTGGAAGCCCATCCGTCATCTGCTCCACGTAAATTGAAAACAATCAGACTAATAGTTTTGAGTCTATCTAGTCATAATATTTTAGGTCTGGGGGCTAGGGGTGTAGCTCAGCAGCACAGCGCCTGCCTGGCAAGCGCAAGGTCGTGAGTTCAGTTCCCAGTAGCAGAAAAACAAACAAACAAAAAAAATACGTATATATTTTAGGTCTGCCTTGGTTGCATTTTCAAACACTTAGTTGGATAAAGATAATTAGTTTGGATAAAGACATTTAGTTTGAGGCAAGTAGCCACTCACTTTTTAATTTTTTTTTTTTTTTTTTTTTTTTTTTTTTTTTTTTTTT